TCAAGCCACTTCAAAGTCTGTATTTCAATCTTCAATATTTCTTGCTTTATCTTCAGTAATTGTAGCATTTGTTGTAGGTCAGTATTTATTTCCAATGGCTGTGGCTTTTGCTGCAAATCAACCTTCACTGTTTCTTCTTCCTCAGAATCAATTTTAGTTAATTCAGGATCTATCCATCCTTTAAAAAAAACAGTCCTTCCTTTAGTGGCCAAATTTGTTTCTTTTTATCCACAGTTTCAAATTTTTCAAATTTTTCATATACTTGTTGCATTTCTTGTATATTCTGTTCAGTTTTGGATTCTACATCAATCACCATCTCCTTAAAAGAAGTGTCAAGCTTATCAAAGCGCTTTTTTTGTACAATTGAGAAGATTTCCTTTTGTCTCAACATCACCTCTTGGGATATTTGTAAAGATGTTAAAGATTCTTGTATTTCCAAAAAAAAATCACTTCAGCTCTACCATTGTTGCAATAATTTGAATAGCCACAAAGTGGCAGCCAAGATCAGTTCCACTTTTCTCTAGATCACTAGTGGCCAGAAGGTTGGCAAGTTGCCAAATACTTTGGCAGAGGTCCAAGAGATGCAGGAGAGGAAATGGAGATACTTATCCTTCCTCTTTTCTCCCTTTTCTCTTTTTTAATGCCAATTAACAACAGATATAGTTTTTCCACAAGTAGTATTGCAAAAGGAAAATAGGAATGCTCACCCAAACAGTTGTCACATTAAAGAAGAAAGCATCTGACAATGTGAAAAATATCCTGGCGAGTGTCCAGTTGATATTGGAAGAAGTCCAAACAGATAAACAAAATGATGGGTCAAAGCTTTGAACTCCTATCACGTAGTTGCACCTTAAAAATTTAAACTAATTTTATACCCTTAGTGAGGTTAGAGGAAAAAGTCTTTTTCTTCGGCTTCAACTTGGACAAAAGCCTCAGCACTCTCTCATCTCAGTCACTGCCTAAACATCCGGAGGGTTTTTCTTTTCTTAATGCCAAATTATAAGCAAATGCAGCTTTTCCATGGGAAATATTGCGAAAGAAGTAAAAAAATATTTACTCAGCAGTTCCAATGCTTATCTCGTTAATAAAAATCCTAAGCTAATCTTCTAAGAAGTCGAGAACATGAAGGGGCAGAAACCACCCCCTGTGTTACTCGGTTGAGAAGTACCTGAATTGCTCTCAGCAGATATGAGATTGCCATCTCACATCAAGCCAAAAGCGTGCCCAGGCAATCTGTCTTCACCACGACAGGGCTTAGATGAGTCTCCCATGACCTGCTGCCAAGTAATACTGGCGTGATAAACGGACTCCGTTAATCACATCCGTCTCGTTCTGACGCCATCTTCTAGTTCATGTTGTTTACATTGACACACCTCTGGTGCAACTGAGACTCCAAAAGACAGTTTGAGCCACCTTTTCCTGCCCCAGGGTGTCCAGAAAATTGTCACGTAGTACTTGCAGTATCCAACTTACACTGTAAAAATGCATCCCGGGCATCAACAAGTGTGAACAGACATGCTTTAGGAAGCTTGTACAAAACATCCTCGAGTGTTGGCATTATGTAATGAGATTGTTTCAGTGCCTGGTTCAAAAATTTGGGATCTATACATATCCTTAGCTTATCGGGCTTCTTTACAATCACCATGTTGCTAATCCAATCAGTTGGTTCAGTCACTGGCGCAATATGACCATCAGCCTCATACCGGTCAAGCTGTGCCTTAACTGCCTGCTTCAAGGCCACTGGCACATTGTGTGGTGCACAATGGACCGGAGGAACACTTACATCAAGGTCAAAATGAACTTCCCCCGGAACAGATTCAACAGGCCCTGTGAAAGCATTACCAAATTCCTGTAGTAACAGTTGTTTTGTCAAGGGCCCTTTAAATTGATTGTCCATCACATTGAGCTCTGCAGGGATGGAGAAATGCATCAGCCCTAGACGCTCGCAGGTTAAGCCAGATAACAGTGGCTTTTGGCAAGCTTCCACAATTTCAAACTCTAGCTTGTGTGTCAGGCCACATACGACACATTTTGTCCTGAATAGTCCAAGAGATTTCATAATTTCACCGGAGTATAACTTTAGTTTGGTGTCACTTGGCAGTAGAGGTACTTCCAGTGCTAACATCATTTTGTCTCTCAAGCACAAAAAAAGTGGTGTCCCACTTCTGACACCATATTTCACGTATAGAACTGACGACACTGCAAGTCATTAGTCTGAAGAGTCACGAAACACTGTATTATTACATCCGGGTCAAAGGTAAGAACAGGAACAGGAAGTATAAAAGCAATGCAATATTACCATTTGTAGTCACAAGCACAGTATTTGCATAGTAATTCCATAACAATTGCCAAAATAGAATGACCAGCATCTCTGCACATTTCAAATTTCTGTATTTGAAAATAGACGTTCCTTTGACAAGGAATACAAGAATGGTGTTGCTGAAAAAGACATGGCCCTTCTAGTCATCATTAGTACACATTTGAGGAGGCACTGGGAAAGGTGCCCATGTCTATTTAGCTATCTTGGAGGTTCTCCTTATAAACTTACCTGGTAGCAACAAGCAGCAGTGGGGAGGAACGCCTCTGCTGTTAACACCCCCACCCCACCACCACCTTTGAAAAGCTAGCTTGGCAGTTTCAGAAATGAAACACAGAGTGAGGCTGAGCTATTCAGCACTTTTATTTTCCTAAAATGCCTTTGCAAGCATCCAAGTCATGTTCAGCTCCCAGTAAAAATGCACAGTTGGAGAAAAAGCAGACTGGGTTGTAAGAAATCTGTTTCCTATTTATTGCTATTTGATTATCATGCTTAATTTAGAAAAATCTTATAAAAGGCATTCAGCCCCCATTTGCTGGCCTCCCACTCAGTGGCACAAGAACCAACAGAAATGTTATTGCCACACTGTATTTACATCCTGTCTTTCTTCCTCTGGCAAGGAACCTGTGGTGGCTTACTTACTGATTTTTTAAAACACTGATTTTTTAAAACACTTCATCATGTTGGGTAAATTGCACCCTATGATTCATCTCCTGAGACGGCTTATGCCAATTCAGTCATTGTGTAGCATATGGCTTGCACTCACTTTATCCTGATAATTGCTAGGCAACATTTTGTCTAACAAGCATTGACAAGAGAAAACCTTAAAGCACATTGGCAATTCTGAAAGCTGCAACTCCAGGGAGAATCGGGCATGGTCTGAGATTAGCAGGCTATTTATTTTAAGTCGTCCTGAGACATTTGTAGGGGATGGGATAGAAAAGCTTTTAATAAACAAACAAATAAATAAATATTACATGTTAAAAAAACGCTCTTTCCTTTCCGTCAAAAGAGAAAATTATCCCAGGCAGGCTGAGACTTCTTATTAGAACTTTATTGCAATAAAGGGAACAGAAGGGAATGGCTTCCCTTTCCATTGTTCTGTTCACCTGAACACATCCCTTTTGAACCTTGCACCCTGTCGCTTGTTCCCTCCTCCTTTCCCCTAATTGACTAATAGGGTACTGAGAGTTACACTTTTTTCCGCCCGCCTACTCCGCGCTGCCCCAACACCAGCCCTTCTTCCCAATGCAGCCCTGCCCCTGGTGGGCTACAATAGGTCATTTGTCCTGCCAATCCTGCTTATTTATAAGCAGGGAGGCACTTAGTCCATCTCCAGCCGGTTTGCCTACGTGCCGACTCGCTGCATGCCCCCCTTCCATTCTTGTTGAAAGGTAGTTTTTTTCCCCCGCTCCTCCTTTCATTCCCCTTTTTTAACAATATGGAACAAAGAAAGTTATTGATATAAATAACCAAATACACCTTTGACGGGGAGAGTTGCTTACTTTTTCTCTATAAACTTCTCTTCCTCTCTCAATATTTCACCAACGGATTGAAATTTCTTGATGATGTTCCATCAATGCTAATTTATGGCACCTGGACATTTCAGAATGAATGATCAAATGTTTTGATTTTGTAAATGTGAGAAAGACCCACTCCAACCATCATTTAAAAGGGATGTTCTCCCCACATTTTGACATCAACAATGGACTTTAAGAGTTCATCGTTATACCAGGAATACCAACCTTTTTGTGTCCATGGGTACCTTTGGAAATTGGAGGAACTGCTGGTGCGCACCAACCCAAGATCAGGGGGTCACCATTTTGGCATCTACCTGTCACATCCATAGATCTTGGGCTGAATCTTAATTAGGAAAAATATTTGTTTCTTGACTATTGGACACCACAACATCTTTAAAAAGGGAATTGTTGAATTGCGCTGAATGCTGGTAGTGCAATGCAGCTGTTTTCTTTAGATCATGGGTCCCCAAACTAAGGCCCAGGGGCCAAATCCGGCCCGCAATGCCCATTTATCTGGCCTGCCATGCCCGTTTGGACCTGTCGTGCCTGTGCCCATGCAGGTACCCACCGCCACCCACCTCGCCCCGCGCTCAGGGAGGCAATAGTTTGCTCGCTCAGAGAAAACAATCTCCAAGCGAGCAAGCCGCTGCCTCGTGCGCCTGCCTCCCCTCCCCTCACCATGTATGCCCGCCCGCCAACCCACCATTGCCATGCACCCTGCCCCCACCTCAGTGCCTGCACCTGCACACACCACCCCCACCCCCTCACCGGCCCACGTGCACTGCCAGCACCACCTTTCTGGCCCACAGCTAGCACCAGCACCTTTCAACTGGCCTCCTGCTGAAAAAGTTTGAGGGCCCCTGCTTTAGATGCACATTTTACTTCTTTTTCAGAGGAAGTTATTATGGAGATAAATTGTGTACTGGAACAATTTTTAATGGTCAATGATGTAAACAGTCTTTAAAATTGCTGATGCTGCAGGGAAATGTTGGAATGTTCCCTCCTATCTATGCTTGCTTAGCGCTGAACAGGGAACTGAAGAATGACTTGTCCCCATAAAAAGGCAATTTCATTGTAGATGGAGCCTCTATTGCTCTAGGTGGATTATAAAAGTTTTGCTTCCTTGCACAGCTCCTCATATCCTTGTCCAGGGAACTGCAGCCATGAACGTCCTTGCTGTTGCCCTCATCAGCATCGTCACCATGGCAAGCGAGGCCAGGATAATTCCAAGATGTGAACTAGCGAAGACTCTGAAAGAGCATGGGCTAGATGGGTTCAAGGGCTACACCCTGAAAGACTGTGAGTTCTGCTTGTTGATGCTAAACTTCCTTTACTTTCCTTGCCCAGAAATTGATTCTGCTACTTGTTCTACTGTTTTCGATGCTGCTCTTGATGTTCAGCTTCTTTCTTTCTCTTTATAATTCAAGTGTGATCATTCCTATTTTAGCTTTTCTTTTCATCCCTTTTGGGGCCAGGGGCACATTTCAAAGCGTGAGGATGGGCTATGTTCATTCTCCCCAAATGACTGTCAAGACACTCTGACGAGGTTGAAAAGCTAGTTTTAAGAGCTTGGATTGAGGGTAGTCTGAGCTTCATACACAAAGCTGACCTTTCATCCTGCTTTTCTGCACTTACACCCATGTCAAGCTGTGGAGGCCCAGAGGCAATTACCTTCGTCCAGAAGCAAAGTATAAGCCAGGGATGAGGTTGGGACTGCAAATATCAAATCACTCAATGTCCCCCTCACCACATTGCAAAATACCTACCAGGCAAGCTTGTGATGCTCAGAGGAACACATGGAGACAAAACACCTGTACTGCACTGGTATATGAGAGCATGGATACTACCTGAACAACATACCCACTACACCGAAACCAACAGAGGCAATATGCACACACACATGCACATACACAAACAGCAGGTGAAGCTCTGCATGGAAGCAAAGGAACAAAGCTAACATACTGCACTAGGACCAACCTTCACCCACTCCGATGAATTTCCCAGGCACTTGTTAAAATTACAGTGTAAAATAGAGGCACTTCAGTTCAACATTAACACAGAGAATGCTCTAAATGTCCCGTTACACCTCTGTTTGCCCAGTCCCTGCACTCTGCCACTGTTGCTGCTTTGAGTTTCTGGTCTGTAGGTATATTGAACTGAAATGTCGTGATGTGATCAGTGCTGGTGCTCTCCATCTTTCTTCAAGCAGCAACCAAAGCTGAGGATGGACAATGCCACAGAGATTCTACTGGCTCAGAGCCACATGCTTACAGCCAAAGGCCAAGAGTCCTTTAAGTCTTGCGCTTTGGCTTGTGCAGCCTTTAAATACCTCAAGGGGAGGGAGGCAGCTCCAGGCAGGTGTCTCCAGATGGAAACAGGCTCTTCTCCCTGCAGGCTCCACTCCAATCATCAGCTCTGAGGATGGTTCAGGTCAAGCGCCCCTTTTGTGGGCTTTGTGAGCAGATGCACTTTGCAATTTATATGAAAAATATTTGTCCTTGGGTAATAAACATGCCTAATACACACTGGTTCCCCCAGACAACTTTGTCATTCCTACACTTGGAAGGAGGAACAAACAAAGAGAACAGAACACTACATCTGTCCTCTGATACAATTCTGAACAATCCCAGAGGTCCTCAGACAATGCTGTAGACTGACACCCTCACTGTGATTTGAAGGTACAGTTGCCAGTCACAGAGACCCACAACCTCTTCTCCTTCCCCCTACCCTCTGCTCTTGTGTTCCTCAAAGGAAGCCCATGGGCAGAAATAAGTTTCAAGGTTTGAAATACTCTTTGTGTTTTCGTGTCTTTCCAAATACAAGTGCTGTACAAAGGACATTTGATATTTTACACATACACGCAAACATTTTTCCACCAGTTTCTCATCGCTGTGATTTGTGTCCTGTTTCCCCTGTCAGGGCTATGCATGGTATTTTTTGAAAGTAATTTCAACACAAGACCTCCAATGACCAGAGGAACACGACGCCAGGGAAATTATGGGATATTCCGTTTTAGTAATAGATATTGGTGCAGTGATGGGAAGCAACGCTCAAGGAATGTTTGCAACATTGCCTGCCAAAGTGAGTCATGTGTTTCTGCTTTTCCTTAAGTGACTTAGGAATGAAGGCTAGTGTATTAAATGAGGAATGATTATCATTTTATGTAACATGAAAAGGAAATCATGGCCCCCAAGTACTGGTGGTTGCAATGAGTCACCTCTCTCAATGGCTGTACAGGTGAGACACCTGATGATGCTGAACTACTGCCCAGTCACCTTCTCCGATTCAGCAGATGTGGCCTAAAGCTTCTTGCTGTGATTCACAGCATATTCTGCCTTCACTTGCATTGTGAAGGGGGTACCCAGAATGGTCTTTCACACAGCAGCATATTAGGAGGTAATTCCACACACTACCAAGAACAGGAAGGGCCACCATGATAAGGTACTTTCCTTTCAAGGAGCCATTTTCTGTTGAACTGTGATGATTGGAAAGTGATATTCATTAATGGTCATCAGTTCCTCCAACTCTCTGTGTCATTCCCTGCCTTTGTAGAGTTCCTTGATGATGACATCACTGACGACATTGAGTGTGCAAAGAAAGTTGTCAGAGGATCAGGGTTGAACACTTGGTAAGTTTCCTCATCCTTTTGAATAATCCTCTACAAATAATGAAAGTAGAAAAAAGAAAAGAAAAGAAAAAGCTTATGTTGCTGAATTATCTACTGGATTAAGTTTGTTGCTAATCTGGAAGACCTTTGCAGTCATTTAAACGCAAACACTTTTACTGGTGGGTAAATTCCAGGAAAAAACAAAAAACAAGCAAACCATGCAGATTACTAGTATTTAGTAAATCAAACTTTCTGATGGGGCCTACTGGGGCAAAATTTAGGACTGTCCCTAAGCTACTATGATTTCTTAATTTAATTTCAGATCTTTCCGTTTCCTTATTTCCTTTATATATATTTTTGCAGATTTGCTGGTCTGTAGTCTTAAACTGCTTTCTAAGCTGCAGAATTGGTAGATTTGTTATCAACCCCATAAATTCAATACAGTCTGTCAAAATAGTTGAACCCTTGAGATAGATCCTGGGATATTGTGGCTTGATTCTGTTTAAGATAGATTTGAAAAAAGAAATGAGCAAGCTGAACATGAAGACTGAGATAATACTTCCCATTCAGTATCTGTAAAAGGGAGACAAAGATTGTGATTAATGTGGGTCATTAATCACCTTTTGTTGTGACTGCAAGTTTAAATTTTTGAAAGTTGATAAAAATGGGGACAGCACCTAGGAAGAAAAGAATCTATCCGGAGTTTTTGAGGCAAGTGTGATCGTTAATGGATTCCATTAGATGCCCTATTTACACTTATTGGACATTTTTGTATCTCATGCTCAACAATTGTGCCGCCTGTTTAGAATAGAAGTCAGGTCCTTTAAGCCTTTTGGAGATGGCCGGAAAATCATATGTGATGTAGCTTCTGGGCTGAGAAAATTTTTTGGTCAGAGGAGTGAGCACAGCAGGTTTCTGCCCCAGTAAATTAACAGCTGTCTGCTTTTTCCTGAATCACTTGGTAAGGAAATGTACATCACCATCTCATCACTCGCTTTATGCTGCCTTCACAAATGTTAGGGCTACTTTTGATTCCATATACCAACCTTGCCCCTTTTACAAATGGTGCCTTTTGATAGTGGATCCTAAGGTGCTAAGGAGGATCCAAGTTTTTGTTTGTTTTATTCTATTTATATTCTGCCTTTTTTCCCATCATGGAACTCAAGGCAGCTTACTTAATTCTTCTCTCCTTCTCTCAGTCTTATCCTCACGACAACCACCCTGTGAGTCTGTGACTGGCCCAAAGTCACTTGGTGAGCTTCATGGCTGAGTGTGGGACTAGAACCCAAATTGCCTGAGCCCCAGTCCCACGCTTTTAACCAATCCACCACCTTGTCTCTCTCAATATTGTGTTGAAAGACAACTCATATTGAAAGGATTTAAGTGCTCCTACTTGACCTCTGTGGAGACCACACAGGTTTCCTCTATGAGAAAAACAATAGCCAAGACCAATGAAAAACTAGTGGACAAAGTTGGTGACCTCCCTCTGCATGCAAAGCTAGAATCTCACCGGCTTCATCCCTTGGGGAAGAGGGCTAGTGGATGTTCTAGGGGATGAAGAGGGGAGACAAGCACTGCCACATAATCCAAGTTATTTTGGTGGTGCTTGAGTCTCCTTCTCCTCTGCTTTGAGGCACTTAGATGGCTGGAAATGGATACTAATGTGCATGGTGGGAAGAGCTGAGAGGTCACCTTTGCTTCCAAGTTACTTCTGTCCTGCATAAGATGCATGTAATCCTCTAAGTTGGTAGGGGCATCGGAAGCATCATGGAACAGCTTCCTCTGAGTTCTATCTCTTAGTCTTCTTTTGTATCTATTTCTTTTAAGGAATGACCTGGTTCCTTATTAAAGTCCATGTTCCCGAGTGCACAAAATGGAGTTCCCATTGCACAATTTTGTTGTGCAAAAAAGGTCAGAAAGGCCAGGACTGTGCCATTCTGGAAGTCTCAAGTTGTTTGACTGATGATGACATCCAGATTACTAGTGGGAAAATGGCCATGCCATGTTCAGATGTGCTGTAGAAACATTTTGTAGCCTTTCCTCTAATATTTGCCTTTTTTCTGGCCACATGGCTTTAGGGTTATTGTCTTGCAGAGATCATTTGTGACATACTGAACTGCTGTGATAGTTAAACTCTCTCTAAGGACCATGAACTTTGATAGATGATAATAAAGTTTATTGAGCTGTTTTAACATACAAGATTTTTGATAAGTTCTTTGTTTCACTGCCCCTTAGCCTACTGCTTTGTAGTTTGAATCCTATGTACATGCAAAAGCTGGGTTGGCTATTTACAAAAATGGACAGAACTTAAAGGAATGTCATAGAATCAAAGAACAGCGAAGTTGGAAGGGACATATAAGACCATGGGGTCCAAGCCCCTGCTCAAATGCCCAAGTTAAAGGACTTCTAACAGGTGACTGTACAGCTCTATCTTGAATGCTCTCAGTCTGTGCGGAAACATGACCTTCCTAGGTCATTGTTTCCATTGTTGTATTGCTCTAGCAGACAGGATTTTTTTCTCTGATGTGCAGCTGGAATATGGCTTCATGTAACTTGAGCTCTTTACTCTGTAATTGGATGACTGAGAAGAGATCCTTGTTCTGGGACACCCTTTCAAATACTTGAAGGTGCTATCAAATCTCCCCTCAATCTTGTCTTCTCAAGGCTAAGTATACCCAGTTCTTTCAGTCTCCTCATAGGGTTTTGTTTTCAGTCCCCTGATCATCTTCATTGCCCTTCTCTGAACCTTTTAAACTGGAAGTCTGCATCTTAAACTGTGATTCCCAGAACTAGATGCAATACTTAAGATAAGATCCTGTACTTTTAGCCCAGAACTCTAAACCATTAAGATCTATGTTAAATTGTGTTCCTTTCTTCTGGGGTATAAGATATCCCACACAATTTTGGGTCACCTACAATTTGATAAGCATTCCTTATACCTCATCATCCAAATCCTTTAAAAATACAGAAGAGCGATGGACCCAGTACACTGCTCATTACCTCTCCCCAATTTCAAAACCACCATTGAAAAGCACCCTTTGAAACTGAGTCAGTAGCCAACTATGTATTCACCTCCATCTAGCCCACTTTTAGCTAGTTTTCTAAACAGGATTCCATTGGGCACTTTGCTGAATTCAGCATGTATTATGTCCACAGCATTCCCTCAGTCCACAAGGATCAAAAATATCAGATTAGTTTGGTAGGACTAGTTCTTCATAAATCTGTGTTGGTTTCTTGGAATCATTGCATTGTATCCAAGGTGTTTGCAGATTAAATGCTTTATAATTTGCTCCAGGTTTTTCTCAGGGATGCCTGTAGTTCTCAGGTCTTCATTTACCCACCTTTTGAAGATAGGGACAACATCCACCCTCCTCAAGTCAATTGGCACTTCATCTCTCACTGTTGATTTCTCCTAAATAATATACAGTGATGCAGAGTTTTGAACTCTGCCAGTTCCTTTATTATTCTAGGATATAGTTCATCAAGTCCCGGAGATCTGAACTCATTCAAAGTCATTAGGTGTTCTTTGGCCATTTGCTAATCAGCCTCAATTAATATTTCATACACACAAACACTTAGAATTGGAACACTAACATACCATTAACACTAATTGAAATATATTACTTCCTTATGTTCTGATAAGATGCAAATAGCACAGACAGCACAAAATCTGTAGTCTGGAGAGCACCTGGAGAAAACCTGGAGAAAAGTTTTTTCTCCTTCATTCTTGCTGCGTGTATACATGTATAGAAGAGAATTTTGAAGAACTATCCTACTTGATCGAGATTGGACACAGGGGATTGCCTACCTCTATTCTTGACTCAAAATATCTGATGGTTACAGATTATGTTTAGCTATCATAGCTAGCAGCCCTTGAAAGTTCTCCTCTTTAGGAATAGATTCTATGCCATTCAAAATGATGCTGTGGTAACCTGGTGGCTGCCAGCAACCCATCTGAGGTTTCAGGACACTGGTTGTGCAGTGCTTACAGGCTCCAGCTGCCAGCATTTAGAGTTAAACAAACTTAATCTCTTCAGTTTTGAAGAAGCATTTGGAATCTTTTGAGAAAAACTAAGGGTACCAATTGGATTCTTTCTGTGGGGCTTCTCTGCAGCCACTTTGTGTTCTTTGGGAGCTGCGTTACCTGTTTTTTTCAACAGTTTGCATACTAATTGGGTGTTGAAATAGCCAAGAGTGACTACAAATGTGGCATGTCTCCCTACTTTCACCCCCACCCCAAAGAAAATGCAGCTTTGTGTTCTTCATCCAGAACAAATTACCTGCATTCCAAGACTAAGAACATTCCAAAGTCAAGATGAAATTCCCACTTGCAACATTTGTCATGACTTTGGTTAAAGGGGGAAATCCAAGAAATGTTGATGATTTTCCTTCTATCCCTTTCCTCAGGTCAGCATGGACCAGGCGATGTCGTGGAAAAAATCTAGATTCATATTTAAAGGGCTGCTCTCTCTGAGACCTCAATTTTGTCTGGCCTTGCACAACTGGAACTGCTGATGTTGTAATTCTTTCCCAACCCACCCCAGCTTCCCTTGCGAATGCCCCTTATTTCAGAACTCCAGAACAACTCTGAACCAATGAAAACTGCATCCACTGGATCCAAAGCAGTTCCTTTCAGCAAATGTCACTCCATAGTGCATGACAGAACAGAGATAACTCAATGGAATAAAGAGACAGCATCATAGGACATTGGAAAAAATATTCTTATTCTTTGAAGTAACCCAACACTACTTCAAGGAATAAAACTATGTGTATGAGTTATGCTATGCAATATTGCTTTAGAAAACCCTACATGTTCAGGGTAGGGATGTGTGAGGAATCGGTTTGGACAGGAAATCCATTAGACTCCCTGGTTTCAGCTTCCTGGGCTCCAGTTTGGAGGGCTACAGCTAAGTTCTTGGAGAGCACATAGTAACATTTGCAAAATGCTCATTAGGAATTTGGCCCTGTTGCTTATAATGGTTTCCTGCTGCACTGAGTTCTGCTTCTGCTCATGTGACTTAGCATTAGTGTTCACATGATGTGGAGGATTGCTTGGTTTTCTCAGAATGTTTTGCTGCATGTGCTTGCCATACCACTACCACATGTCTACTTTTGGAAAACCCTCCTTCTTCAGAGCAGCAAGAGACATTCTGCATAAACCTAGGAAGCTTCCACAAATTACGGTCTGTTCAGATGCTGTATCAAGGAAGGCTATTGTGGAGGCAGAAGGGACTGCACCTGTGCATCTGTGTGTGTCCACACCTGCACATGTTTTGCTTGCATATCAATCATTTCAGCACAGGCAGGCATTTAGGTAGGCAGACATTGCCAATGCTGGTGCATTTCCACTGTGTTCAGCTTGCTTTTTCAGAAAGGGACAAGTATTAGAAGACATCAGATGGGCAGACTCAAGCCAGATTCCAGGGAAGCTCAGTAAATCTCTAGTTCAGGGCTCTCTGCAATATTAGCTTCTTTGCAATATTAACAATGAGAAGCCAGGCTCCTCTCCGGTAGGACCTTCTCTAGAGCAAAGAATATTGATCTGGGGCTTTGCAAAACTCTGTAGGTGTGATGATTGCAGCACTCTGAAAACAGAATGGACCAGAAGGTTGAAAAGACTGCCCCTGGGCACTTTCCTAAGGAACCGTATTTCTGCTTCTTATGTAAAGTACAGAGGTTTTGGGAAGCTCCCTATGGTACATGTCCAAGAGTGGGAGACCCTGAGGTTAATCAGGAAGAATACATTGGAAGTGTTTCTCTGGAAGTGTCTATAAACTACTGCGTTGTAAGCATGTGAACAGTTGCAGGATTCAGCTTGGAAAGCGACCCTTTTCAGAGATATCTGCACATGTTCTGCCAATGACATGAATACATTTTGGGATCCAGTGACAATAAATACAATTGGCTAAAGGTTAAAGAAAATGATAGAAAAGGCTTTATAAAGGCAAAGTAGGTGCAGGGCAGGATTTTTATGTTCCTTCTGTTGTTGGGAACCCCTCAGAGAAAGGACCATGGATGGACTCCTGGTTGAGACACAGCACTTCCTGCAGCTAGGTCCATACTGAGCTTGTTCTCCTTGGCATGCTCCCAAAACTTATATAGGCTGTTCTTCAACAAAATTATTTTATTGATTTTCATTCAGTAAAATTCTTTAGAAACTAGTCTCTTTCTTTTTTTATTCATTGTGATGAGATGTAGCATGATGAGATGCAGTGTGCAAGTGCAATTAGAATAAAATTGATCATTCAGAACCTAGCAAGAAAACATTCTGTCCAACATCATGGATCCCACCAAGGAAAGGTGCCTCATGTTCTTATGTAACAAACTGAATTGTGAAAAGAAGGAATGCCATCGCTCCCACAGTGCCACAACATGCCTGCAGGTGATTTCCAGAAATCACCACCCACAAATCCAGGTCATTTCTGGGTCAGAGTCATTCACTCATGTCAGTTCTAGGCTGATGCCAAATTGTCACTTGTAGCCAAAAGGAACAACATGGCGGTGTGTGGGGGAGTGTTCTTTCATGAAGCATCGTGAGGATTGGTTCCAGTGACACAATCCCTATGGAGTAATTTGATATAAGAGTTTGCTTTACGGAACCCATGGTGGAAAGTGATTCATTGTGTGAAGAAGGAATGAATGATCTGTATTCCAAGCCTTGGTTCCCTACCAAAGTTAAAGCAAAACTCCCAGTTTCTAGAAAATTCCCCTTAATAGGTCTGGACCTTTTCACATGACCCTTATTCACAACAAGTGATGCAACTGAAGTTTGTGAAATGGATGACTGAGTGACCCATGGCCATTTAGATGAAACTCGTACTGTGCTCTGGCCCAAGTGGCATTGCCAAGCAATCAGGCCCAGTTCTTGAGTTTTATTGATGACCTTCTCTGGTGCTTGAGCATTCAAAAAAATGTGCTCTTCTTTTCATCCCTTCGAAGCAAATTCAGAGTAGGTGGACACTCAGGGCAATGTTGCTAATTCCTTCCCATCCTATGACCATCACACCTCCTTAGTCCAGAACCTTTATATAAAACCAGTTTGGACACCACCATTCCCTGCTTGGTACTGCTTTTCCATCAACTTCATTGCACCCATCCACCACTGCCCCAATAATAAACCAAGTTTCTTGCACTGTTCTTTGTTTCTTTGTCTTCCCATCACTGTTGTTGAGCACAAAAGCCAGCCCTCCTCCTGCCTCCAGTCCTGAAAAAAGGGAGGGAAGGAGGGGTGGGAGGGTGTTCACAGCTGCAGGACTGTTTGCAGTCCCTGGCCCAGGCAGTCCCAGGGTTTCCCTGAGCAGAACATCTCCCCTGTCCTGCAAATGTGCTGAAGGATGCAACCTGCCACCTCCACCCTGGGGCACTGCCTTGCCATACATTGTGTGGGGTGTGCACAGACTCCCAGTGTGCAGATCAAGTGTGGTCTGCAGGAAGTGTGGCATGGCTGGCATAGAAGTGGAAATTCTACTGCTTGGGTGTTCTTGGGGTGGGATTCAGCAGCATGGGGCATAGTTGCAATGTGAACGCCTGGCCATCCTCATCAGAGGATGCATGGCCTTGCCATGGACAGACATGGGGGAGCATCAAACTCTTTCATTCAGTTTCTTGGTCAACAGAGAATGCCAGAAGATGGCTACATTATGCCTGCTGAAGCCTCACTCCACCAGGGCCTAGAGCACCAGGCTGCAAAGCATTTCCTGTTGGATTACACCTCAGCCCTTCTTTGCATGCAGCAAAGTAATTCCTACCTCGGTTCTTTAGCTGAAGCCAATGAGTAGAAATATTGACCTCTCTGGCTGGTCCCCTGTTCTGAGACTTTGCAGCATCTAACCCCTTGGGGGGTTAGAAGATGTGGACCCATAGCTATAGATTTGTTGGGCAGTATGGGATGCAGGCATACCTTTTGTATCACTACAGAAATCTTGGCTTGCCTCATCTTTTAAAAATCAGAAGTAAATGTTGGAAAGTTCCTATCTATGCTTGCTTAGCTCTGAACAGGGAACCTAAGAATGGCTTGTCCCCATAAAAAGGCAATTTCTGCTTGCATCTCAAACCAGAGATTACGATCAGTATAACTTAGGCTTTTAATTTCCCTCTGGAGGGAAATTAATGCAACAGCCAGTCAGAGGGACCAATGCAAAGCGAGTTAATGGGAAGGCCATTGCTACAGATTGGCATGTGCATCAACAAAACTGAAGTCTGTAGTCACCATCATATTGGGAAGCTATTCTGTGGCCAGCAGAAATTTGGCATATTCATCTTCTCCTGGATGAATGGGTTAACTGCCACAGATGGGTTAAATGATTAGCTGCCAAAATATTCCTAAATGGGCTTTATTGCTCTAGGTGGATTATAAAAGTCTTGCTTCCTTGCACAGCTCTTCATATTGTTGTCCAGGGAGCTGTAGCCATGAACACCCTTGCTGTTGCCTTCATCAGCCTCATCATAATGGCAAGTGAGGCCCAGATTATTCCAAGTTGTGTACTGGCAAAGGCTCTAAAAGAACATGGGCTAGATGAATGACTGTGAGTTCTGCTTGTTGGTGCAAAACCTCCTTTAATTAACTGCAGAAGGGATGGACTGCCCACCCTCACCGCCTGGGAAGACCCACAGCCACCACTGCACCGCCACCCAGAAGCCCACCACCGGGATGCTGCTCGCCTGTGGCGCTGCCACCACCACCTTGCCGCCAAGTGCTCCACGGGCCCTGTTCCTGCCCCCCCCCCACCCAGCATGAGTGAGAGCTGCGCCACTCAGGAGTCGGGGCACGGAGAATGACTTGCATTACAGAGACCTGGGCAGGAGAGGGTGCGGATGTAGTCCTCCCTCAGCTGTGCCCACGAGGGTATCTAGTCCAGCACCAGTCACGTCTGGAGTGGAGGGGAGGGGAGGGGGAGTTGCTTTAATTCACTGAGCCTCTATTTCCCTCACAAGGCTTCCTGTTCCCTCGAGACCAGGTCTAGACTGTTTATACCTGGTGCTGGGCAATCGAGACAGATTGGGGATTCTGCTGGTGTACCTTGCACCCTTCCACCTAACAGGAAAGGGAGCCTGAGTTGACGGAGATTGTCTCAGACCTGGTGTTGAAGACTCCCAGGATGCTGGTCCTGGGGGATTTCAATCTCCATGCCGAGACTGATCTGACCAGGGCAGTTCAGGACTTCATGGCCTCTATGACGGCCATGGGCCTGTCTCAACATGTCATCGGCCAGACCCATGAACGTGGACACACTCTGGACCTGGTATTCACGACGGGGCAGGAAGAGGATGACCTGAGGGTGAGGAACTTATGTTTGACTCCCCTGTCATGGTCAGATCACCTCCTGGTGAGGTTTGTGCTCGAGAGCGGCCTCTCCCTCTATAAGAGTGCGGACCCAATTGTATGGGCCCACCCCCGGAGCCAGATGGATCCGGATGGATTCCTGAAGGCCCTGGGGGAGTTTCCGGCTGACAAGACTGGTGCTCCTGTCGAGGCTCTGGTCGAACTGTGGAACGG